TGAGAGATGTTACCTGCAATTTTTCACCTGTTTTCATAGAGTGAGCTGGATGTGCTGTAATTCATCACGCATCCCGTAGCAGCTTCAGGTTTGTCTGTGAGCTGTTAGACTGCTAATGAGAAGAGAAAAAAAAACAAACCAGAAAATAGTGGAGAGGTTATTAGTGGCTGGGATCCTGACTGCTTGACAAAACTCCCATTCAACACCTTTTGTGTGAGGAAAGAACTGCAAAATTCAGCCTTGTGTCTATGAGATTAAGCAAGCACTCGATTAATTCCCCCAAAGTCCTCGAAAATTTTTACTGCAGCAGATCCTCACTGTAATAAGAAAAGTGATTGTTTCTCTTCAGGGGAAAAAAAAATAAAAATAAAAAAATTTAAATTCTTCACTACTTAATGGATTTAATCACTTTGTAATATATCAGAAAATGAAAGCAAGCTATAAAACATAAAAAACTAAAAAAATAATAATAATTTTTAGCTTAATATTTTAACATTGTCATTTTTTTAATAACCCGCAGTAATGATGCCATTTTAGTATTGCTTTCTGTCATTCATAAAGCAATCAAGTTTTAACAAGCCACAAAAACATCCTTTCACGCCGAGGCGTATTCTTTTAAGCTTCATTCCCTGTCGAAGCCGGTGAGGACTTACACTTTGAAAGCAACAATAAATAGAGTTATCTCTTGGTGCTTTCATATTAATAAGTGCTACTGAAAAGGATGTTAAAAACCTCATTTGTGAAATACCGGGGAAATTTCTATTTTTCTAATATATGTGTGTATATGTATATATATATATATATACATAAATAAAAAAAATTATAAAAATATTTATCAATCATCTTTTTCAGTCTTGCTTTTCCCACTCCCAGAGTGCTCGTTGGGGGCAAGACCACAAAGACTGTCGTTTGCATGACTAGACTGTACTTTTTCACTCCCATTCACTTCTAACATGAGTAAAGGCTCCTCATTTGAGTAGGAGTTGTTGGATTGAGCCCATAACTTGTCGTTCTGCGAAGCGTCTTGGTAGCCTGAGTGTGCTGTGCAGGGAAGGTACCGTCATCCGTGGTAGCCCAGTGTTTGCTTTGGTGCCATCTGCGTCACCTCCTTGCTTACCCAGTCTGAGAAAGTGAAGCTTTGAGAGAGATTTAAGTTGTTTGATACCTTAAGAAATGCCAAAATAATTTCTCCTAAACAGAAAAGACTATGCTGAGGTTCTTTGTATGTCTACTTTGAAGTTGATTCCGGGCTGGGAAAAAGCCCTGTTAACTCTCTAGTGCTAAAATATTTTTCAAAAGCAGTCCTTGAATATTTCCAGACAGATGATGAGATGAATGTACTCAGGTGGGTCATTTGAAAAGTATTCTCACTATTTTGAAGGCTTGAGAGGTGAGAGAAGGACGGATACAAAACTGGAGGGGCCCCAGTTGCTAGGGGTGCAAGCCTGGGAGTCCTGAGATAGCCCGAAACTTGACGATTATTTCATTGATAGCAGAGCTGAGCACTGATCATCAGAGAAATACCTGCACTGCTGTGTTCCACTGGAGCTTTTTCACAAGTTATATTTCAAATGGTAACTGCTGCTTCTTTGAGTTTCTGAATTAGTAGACTAGACTGGTTATTATCTTGAGATCTGAAGAGGTCCATATTGATACCTCCTGGCAGTGGGCATCAGTAGTTCATGTTTCTGTTGGAAGCTTACACATTACACACGTTAATTTTGACACATATAGATCATGAGTCTGTCTTCTAGTGCAGAAAATAATACCTGTTTTGATTGTAACTGCTGGTGTTTGGGCTTGGTGATTACTGTACAGCGTCTGAAATAATTAGCTGAGTGGTGTTTGATCAGCTCGTTCTAGATCAGAGGACAACCGTATGCGAATGGCCACTTTGCCTGAATCCATCCCTAATTACTTACACCTTTTGTGCAAGGTTTGTTTAGAGGAAACTCTCCTTAAACAAAAGAATATCTATTTTTATAGATAAAAAGCCAGAACAGGAGCTGTATAGTTTGCGGCTTCTTTTAGAGTCAATCCTCCTTTGCAACCACGTCTTAGTAGTGGTGGTGGTGGTGGTGGTAGTAGTGTAGTAGTAATAATAATAGATGGGCAACTCTTAATAATAATAGTATATTAATAATAATATAGTAATAATAATAGATGAGCAACTCTTACCCAACTTGCCAAGGTTTGGAAATAAGCACTGGAAAATCTTCTCAATGTGAAAACCATAGGAGAGACGTGGTCCTTCAGTGTGTGGTTGGTACTACCAACCAGGGAACTCAGTAGATTCTGAATAAGGACCAGAGAATCAGGCCCCTCGACTGTAAAAATGTAAATCTGTAATGTAAATAAGGGTTTGTTTGAGTTGTCTTAGTTCAGAAAGACTCTGGGGAGAGGCGAGCGTGGTGGGTGCCTCGCCGCAGGTCCATGCTCCGCACGCTTTCACTGCGCGAAAGCTGAAGTACGCGCTGAAAATGGGGTTTGGAAGCCAACTTCTTCACCCAACTCATTTTGGGAGGCTTTAGATTTTTTAACACACACTTTAGGATACCAGCCCGCTCTTTTTCGGTGGTGAATCATGTTATCTTCTGTGATATTTTTGTAACACAATGTGATAGTTAAGTTTCTCCAGAAGCATTTACCGTAAGGATTAGTCTAGTATTGTCTAGCAACAGCTATATATTATCGATCTTAACCCAAACAGCGTCACAACTTCAGCACTTTGTGCAGAAGTCTTAAATAATATTTGACTGTTTTCAATTGCATTTTATTCTCTGCTCCCAAAAGGAAAAAAAAAAAAAAAAAGGAAGGTAAAAAATCCAGTAGTGCTTGGAGAGTTTTCCTTTTAGCTAGTTAGTACAGTAGAATTTTGTGTAAATAATATTTAAAATTAGAAAAAAATCCCGAAACATTCTGTGATCATTTTTCCATAGAAAATGCAAGT